AAATATTCACTGGCCCCACCAAAGAAAGAATTCAATTTAATAGCTATTCTTTTAGCCACATGTTTTAAATAATGTCAAAAATAATATCCATAATTATTTAAATGTTAATCATTATTTAAATAATGTATTTAAATAGCACTTTAAAAATGTTAATAAATGTATAAGCAAAATGCTGTGTTAACAAAACAAAAATAGCAGTATGGAAAATGTGAAGGTATTTTATTGCAGTTCAAAATTATTTAACAAAAGGTGGCTGCAGTTAGGCCAGTAATGATCCCGTCTACTGTCCCAAGCGTCTCTCACACTGGCCCTGGGCCGTCGGGCAGTCCTTATTGTTGAACCCTGCTTAACACATGTACCTAAATGACCTAGTACTTTCTTCAACATAACTACACGGTTTATAAAATAAAGTGCAACCAATACAACTAAAGTGTTATTTGCACATAAGTACTTTCTACAGCATGCCATACTCGTGCTAGTTTTTAATTATTATTACTCAGGTATCACAAAATGTACAATGTCAAAATAGTGTCATAAAACATAAACCTTAAACATAATAGAAGAAATCACTCCTTGCATACTAACTGTGCAATATTATATAATGTACAATGCTAAATTAGTATTAAAACTCCATGCTATTTTCAAGAATGCATTGCATTTAGAGCTAATACTGCTCACAGTCCCAAATAAAGCTATTTAAACCTGCAGTGCTGTACTTTATAGGAATCAAATAGTAAGTAAGCAGCATTAAAAAATAAAAATTTAAATAGTAAAATGAACAAATAAAATCACACATGGTGTTTTATAAAATGTGTGCTGGAATTCAACTCATCTACCTGGCATGAATCAATCTCTGCATACTGTATACTGCACTGCAGCATGGCAGAATAGCATTAGTATTAAATTACTCAGGTAGCTTAAAACAATACTATTTCTAAGTGCATTAAAATGTCATAAAACATGTCTTAAATAAAAAAAATGTCTTAAATCTCAGGAGATCCCCTAAATGAGACGGTGAAAGTAAACACTAACATGGAAATCTTAATAAAGGTATAAAAACATTATGGGGGTTTATCTGCTGAAATTAAAATCTGTTTTATTTGTATTGTGCAAAGTATATTCGAAAGGTTTTTGTGCATGTTATATATATTTAAAAGAGGAAAAACAATCAATTATTGCATGAATGCTGTAATTTTTAAATAATTTTCAGATAAAAATATGTGGTCATGTGACCATCAGGATGAACGCAGCATCTCATTTCTCACAGGATGCGTTCTCTGTTCTTAGGGTCTCCCGAATTCGTTCTTCCAAGGTAACCTGGCAAGAATGGTCTTAATGAAAATGCAAGTCCATTCTTTGCGTTCGCGGAATTGAGAAACAGCCACAGACATTTGTGTGTTCTGTTGAAGCAGATTTGGAACTAAACTCTGCAGGGATGCGACCCTCCAGAAACTTAGTTTGACGGATTAGTATTAGTATTATGTTAAAATTGCCCAGGTACTTTTTAAAGCATACTATTTAGAAGAATGATTTAAGATAGTGTCATAAAACACATGCCTTAAAACCCTTGCATAAATCACTATTTGCATGCTAACTGTGCACATGTACATACTACAGCATGACAGATTTGTTTTAGTATATGTAAGAAATTACTTGGTTACAATACAATTTCCAAGCACGCATTAAAATAGCTTTGCATACAAACTGTGCATTGTGTGCAATATCACAAAATGCAGCTAAAATAGTATTAGTGGAGGATACTGTAAAATATTAAAACCAGATTTTAATGCATACTAATCAAATTGTGTGCTTTTAGGGTTAAAAACTGTCCACAACCCCAAACAAGGCCTTTTCAATCTGCAATGCTTTCTAAAAATTAAATAGGAATTCCTGTCAATAAATAGCATGAAAATAAGGGTGATGTAATGGAAAGTAAAATGCATACCTAAAATATTACCCTTAATATACCGTGCTCGAATCACAGCTTGCATAACAATTGCATAATAGTACATAATGCAGCAAGCCAGGGTTTATATTAGTGGGCTCTGAATTGTACTATTTAAAAATGAAATGCACTGTAAAAGTATCCAAAACGCATCAAATATTCAAGTGTGCATTTAAAAATGAATGATTTTATGGCTAATATTAGATCACAACCCCAAACAAAGTTATCTTTTACGGCTTTCTGATGCAAATGTTTTTAACTATGCAACAAAGACGTCTGTGATATAATGTTATGATGCAACACTAAACGCACACACAGGTTTAAAACACTTCTGCATTCACACATAGAAGCCATCCTCCTGGGTTTGTACCTCCTGCATTAGTAATGAGCTTTTGTATCATTTAAATATGTCAAAACATATTGCGGCCACGCTAGAGAGTAATAGGTGTTTTGTTATTCAGAGTGTCACACTGAATTGAGGACGTACTGTATGAGTGTATGAAGCATGACTAAATAACAGCAGAATCCGAACAGCCTGTCTTGATATTTTTATAGCAACTGGCATTTTTCATTAGACCAACTGTTAGACCAATGGTTTGGCTTCCCTGCACATGCTTGGCGCGAATATTAAAAATGCCATTTATGCACAAGATTACATTTTGACAGTCAGAATGGAAAACAGGCTTTTTATAAAAAAGTCTTCACCTTTAAAATCAGGTGAATTAATAGCCTATCAGGCATCTGAAGACTTCCAAAAAGTTGTCTTGAATGTGCGTAGTTGAAGGTCAGTTCAAGAGCTACATAAAACGTTGGGTTATTGTAAAAACGCCCTTTGAAGCAAGCATTCGTCTGCACAGAATGTACTTTTTCTCTGCATGACAGCCGGAGGGCATCTTCTGTCTCTAGTACTGTATGTATCATCCTTAATTATGTCATTAGTGCTTTATTCTGCTCTCTATTCAAAAGACGAGCTGCTCTGACCTGTTTGGGTTCATACTTGATTGCTTGCTTTGCTGTTTAATAAGAGTATTTAACACATAACTGTGTGACCTCTTTTGAAGTACAAGGAGTTTTGGGAGGCACTGCCCTCTGGTGGCTTTAAAAGTGAAAATTCTGATATCTTTACTATCTCTGCTGGCTGCCAGAGTGAGATTTTGGCCTGTCTGATATGCATACTGAAGTGGAAAGTATGTGAAGAGACTTGAGTGAACAACCATTCTGGGCGGAAAATGAGAGAGGGAATTTAAAGTGGCATAAAGTGCTGAAAGGTTACGACTAGGGGTGTGCTCTACAAGGAAATATTAGTTTGGCTGTTTCAGACTTCAGAATTTCATATTTAGTTTAATGTGTTACCTGATTTATTTGCAATTTGTTTTAAATTCACGAGCAATTTCACATAAAAAATTTTGGTAACACTTTAGTTTACTTTATTTACAGGCTTATTACCTGCCTATTATTAACATATTGGCTATTTGATAGTGCTTATAAAGTATGATCGAGTTCTACTTACCTAGAGCCACCCAATACATAAGCTACTTGATAAGCAGCATATTAGTGGTCTATTGTTCTAAAAGTCTTAGCTAATAGTGAAAATTGTACTTTAACATATATAGAACAGAGATGTCCAAACTAGGGACCCGCAGGCCGAAGTTATGCCTATGGTAACCTTTGATTTGGTCCAATATACCACATGAGAAGAGCGGGAGAATGGGGTGAATGCCTTTAACAGAGATCACAATTTATATTTAACTATAATTTAACATAACTTTTTTGTATGTTTGTTTTATTCCTGAGCTACAAAAAAAAGTTTCAATTAAATGCTGTAAATTAATCTGATTATTTAAAATATGAATATTGTCACTCAAGGGATATAAGGCATCGGCGAGCAAATCAAGACAAAAACCAGGCGCAGCTTGACTAGTGTAACTCCATTCTGCTATAAATGGGATTGTGTTTGTTTTACTGTAATAAGTTCATTATACTTTGAGCATTATTATAATATGCAATAATGTTTAATATATACATAAATACTGTAGGTGTTTAAATATGTTGCTATTTTTTTTTCTTTTTTTAATGTTCATATTTAAAATATATTTATCATCTTCAAAAATTAAATGAAAGTTTTAAATTCTTTCCCCACAGCCCCTCTATTAATATTATGCACAGCAACTGGTTATAAGTATTAAATGAGTATTTTTTACCCAATTTTACATTATGATTCTGTGTTCAAGAGTTATATTAAAAACAGCTCATAGCAACCCCTCCACATCCAATGTTTATCACATGTAGTTCTTTTCATTAGCTACTAGTTTATTACTTCTATTACATAGTAAACAGAAGAAAGAACCGCGTTATAGGTTTATAACCACATTATAAGGCACAAACTGACACTGTAAAACACCAGAAGCTGCCTTGTTCTAAGATTAAAGACTAATAGGCAACTGATGAGCATGTAAATGTGGTTGATGTGACCATGAGTCTCCAGCAGCTGCTTTCAACAAGAGATGCGCTTTTTAGATGCGCCAATTCTGCACATTCCTGTGCAACGCTAATCATGTAGCCTGCGGCTCCTACACACACACACACACACACACACACACAAATACAATTCTCTGTAAAACTGATGGGAAAGACACTGAATGTTTAATAATCCAGTTTGATTAAATTGCAGGTCTTGAACATAGCTGCACTCCTACATGAACATTAAGGCCAAATCTGTTTCATCTCCAGCACGTCTACCTACACGTACGTCATATTTCCATATTAAGCATTTTCCGTAACGGTAGCAGAGATTTGTATTCATTAGAGTTTGACCCTTACTTAAAAGTTTGTTTTTACTTGTATTTACAACACAGCGTACACACATTTAAAAACAAAACTGGAAATGTTTGTTACGTTAAACCAAACAAAAACTGATAACGTTAAACATCAACAGCACAAAGGTGGCTACGTACATAACTTACTAACGTAACGTTGCCATAGCAAATAAAGTTAATGTAACGCTAAACATGAAAAATACAGTCAATTATGATACTTTATTGTCGTTTTTACTCACCTCACTGGAAGCACAACTTATGTTTTCCGACTGGTTTTCTTCTTTCCGATGGAAACTCTCCTCGCTTTCGTTTGCTTTTGTTTATGAAGCCGTTAAGGTCGTTTTAACTGTGACCAATAGAGGTTAAACGTATGTAAACTATCGGTAAGCAAAGTTTTGTTTTCATTGTAGTCCAAAAAAGTCCTGGAGCTCGAAAAACTCGGAATGGCAGTAAAGTTTTCCTACGAACGGAAACTGTGGAGCAGGAAAGATGGAGAGGCGTGACTTCAGTCCGTTTACGGTCAGCGCGAGAACTGCTGAAAATCCACCGGGAAAACACTACAGTCGTGTTCCAACAGGGGGCGCCCGCTAACATAGGCCTTAGTAAAATATTAATAATCTTTTTTTTAAATACATATTTAAAAGGTTTTGGCTTTTGAAAAAGGAATTTTGTTTATACTGTAAATGCTAAAATAAGTTCAAATCAAATTTAGGAAGAAGACTTCAGTTTATTGAACAAATTTAAATTAACAGAAGACCATGTAGTGTAGTTTATTTGTATTTCATGTCTGTGTTTGTTAAATGTTTTATAATGTATTTATTTTATCAATTGATTTTCTTTATTATGAGTGCTCTGATTTGTAAATTTAGATGAAAGTGTTTATTTGAGTTTTGCCTTATTGTATTTGTGTTTAAGTGCAATAATAATAATAAAAAAAGATATATTTTAAAATAAGGGTTTGTCGCAACAAACCCTTTACTCTGTTCATCACATTTCTCTCAAAAAATGTTTTCTGAAAGATAGATTTTAGGAAAAATCAGGTTAGCCTCAGTAAATCAAAACAAAAATTTCTACACTGCAAAAAGCAATAGATGTTCCCACTAATAAAATTAGGTGCACCATGCAGTTAACTTTATATGAAATGTTTGTACACCTTACAATATTTAAACAAGCGATTGCAACTTTTTAGCACATTAAGTTGTTAAACTTAATAAATTCAAGTAATCTTGACTTACAATAATATGTATTTACATGTGTCAAAAGCATGCTAATGATAGAGAAGGGTGATGAGGGAACTGAGGAAACAGGAGAAAGAATTCAAACTTAGGCATAATAAGTCTGGGAGCTTTTTCAATTCTTTGATGATCAAAATTTAAAAACATAGTAATATTAATTTTTTTCATTTTGGCTTAGTCCCTTTATTAAACAGGGGTCGCCACAGTGGAATGAACCGCCAATTTATCCAGCATGCTTTAGGCAGCTGATGCCGTTCCAGCCGCAACCCAACACTGGAAAAACGCAAATACTTTCTTGCATTCACACACATACACTAAAGCCAATTTAACTTATTCAATTCACCTGTACCACGTGTCTTTGGACTGTGGGGGAAGCCGGAGCACCCGGAGGAAACCTGTGCCTACACGGGGAGAACATGCAGAAATGCCATCTGACCCAGCCGGGGCTCAAAACAGCGATCTTCTTGCTACCCACTGTGCCACAGTGACAACCTAATATAGTAACATATTATAATTGTAATAATATTTATACAACTATATAATAAATGATATTCTAAAATATTTATATAATAATAATAATAATAATAATAATAATAATAATAATAATAATAATAAATAAAATATTTATATAATAATAAATATTATATAACTAATTATTTTGAGGTCAACGGTAGTAAAGTTTACTTCATTAAAAATGTTTTGCTCAATTAAAACTAATACACTTCTTAGAAGTTTTAAGGTTTCCTCAATTTTTCTTAGGTCAACTTTTTACATTTTACAGTGTATTTACAATTGCATCATTTGTATTGATATTTGTGAACAAAAACATGGTTCTAAATGCAGTTTTTGTCAAAAGACAAACTGTTTAAAACTATTAATAAAATGTTCACCAGGTACAAGTCTCTTCTTTTCAAATGAAAAGTAGTTTATTAGCAATAAAGTGTTACATGATGAAGTATAACAACAAAATGTCAAACAAATGGTCAGAATATTACAGAATATCCTGAACAAATCAAGTTAGCTTAAAAAAAGACACTTCAGACAATAAATAAATGCGTTTTTTAAACTGAGAATTGTCATTAGTGTGTGAATTCAGCTTATGCGGGTTAAACAACAGAAACAGTTGTAAATCAGCTCCAACCTCATTTTTGCGTACCTACTGTAAGTTTGCATGCGTCAGTCTGCACTGTACATTGACTATGTGGTTATATACTGCATATCATCATATTCATTTCTGTCAAGTCAGAACATTATGAAATGACGTGTACCTTAATGCATATCCGACCATCTGAAATAAGACAACAAATAGAGCAAACAAAGAGATGTTCCTTTGCATAGAAGCATATAGCAGAGCATTATTTGGCAGCAAGACAACCCATTCAACCTAATCAAATCAACAACCTGTCAACCCCTGGCTTAGACCCTGGTATTTATCATTTTAACTCTTAAGTATTTATGTACACAAAATGCCCCACAATGCAAGTTATGGGTCATTTTGTAGTTTAGACCAATGTAAACAGCAGCTGCTTATTAGCCCTTAAAGCGGTGTGATGTGGTTCGTGCATGTTTAAGTCAGTCCCAATGCAGACTGAAGCCCTTAGACAGCATCACAGCCTCCAGGTCACTGTCCTCCTCTTTTTCTCGAACTCTCTGCTCCTCCAGGAGGGCCACCAGTGCATCCCTCTGCTCCACCACATCCAGCATCTCGCTCAATATACGCCTCTCCTCCGCCAGCTCCTCTTCTCCTTTTAGATGATCTAAGAGAAAGATTGATTACATTTTTCTCTTTCATTATATTTTTAATATTTGTATTAGTCTTATATGTGTATGTGTTTTATATATATATATATATATATATATATATATATATATATATATATATATATATATATATATATATATATATATATATATATATAGGGACAGAGAGAGAGGGAGAGAGAGAAAGAGAGAGCTGGCGTGTGACTGTGGTGATATTCTTATTAATTGAAGAGCCATTATGCAGAAGTTCAATTATTTATAATGTCTGTGTGTGCTAACCGTCCACCGCCATGCGCTCTCTCAGCTCCTGCTGCAGGCGACTCTGTCTGTCCTCCAGCTCCAGTTCACGAGCGCTGTAGACAAGCAGAGAGCAATCAAACAAACAGAACACTCATATAACACTCTGTTAGGGGTCAAACTCAGTTCCAGGAGGGACGCAGCTCTGCATTGTTTAGTTCAAACCCTACTAAAACACACCTTATCATACTAATTGAGTCCTTTGAAACAAAAGCTGCAGCCCAATTCACATACTTCTACTTCATCCTATGAGAGTATGTACTTTTTCTTGGAAGAAAACCTTTTAGAAGTTCACATTGCTGTTGCAGACGAAATATAACACAGAAAGCGGTAAATACTTTCCAGTTGGCTGTATGTATTAATAAATAGTCATTCAAACAATTTTACCGAAGCCTCTCTATTTGACGCTTGGTTTCGCACATCTGCCATTTTTGTACTTTGTTCATACTTTTTACCCGTGTTTGCCGATCTAATCGAATTCACATCCAATGCACAATGTATTGTAGGCAATTAGAGTATGGATGGTTCTAGACTTCGAATTTCTACTAGAAAAAGTAGACCATACAGGAGCATTTGGCATACTCTTTTTAACATACTACGATTTGGGACACACTAATTCTATTTCCAAAGCCTATTTAGGACTGACAGTATACAAATTGGGACATAGCACAGCAGTTTGTTGAGGCAAGCTGGAACTAAACTCTGCAGGGCTTTGAGTTTGACACCAGCTAGATCAATCTGCTCAATTGAAAGACTATGTAATAAACCTGTATTAGGTCACTTGATAAAATGCTCACTGGACAAAAAAACCTGGAGTGTTACTAAGGATTATTACAAGACTTTTAAAAATATATTGTAATAAATGTCAGTGAAGTTATCATATAAAGCAGGGGTCAGCAGCCCTGTTCCTGGAGATCTACCTCCCTGCAGAGTTCAGTTGCAACCCTGATCAAACACACTTGCCTGTAATTATCAGCTCTGCTTCAGCTCCTGATTATTAGGTTTAGGTGTTTTTGATCAGGGTTGGAGCTAAACTCTGCAGGAAGGTAGATCGCCAGAGACAGGGTTGAAGACCTCTTATTTAAAGAGTTTGTAGGTTCAGACATGCCACCAAAATTAACAAAAATTGTATGTGGTTTAAAATGCTGCCACTTAAATCACATTGTTACAGTACATGTGAGGGAAATGTTAAAATGAATTTGCATTACATTTTAAATCTGCACATGTTTGCATCACATTTGTTTTCTTTTCAGTGCTGAACTTTATAATAACCAGTCTAAAACATTCCTGTTGAGCTCATGAATGCAGTAAACAGTCAGATGCATTTGGTTTAGTCACTGCTGAAAAACTGCTGAGTTTTAAGCGCTCATCCTTACTGACTGAATTCTGCATACTTTCTATTTCTGTCCTTATAAACAACAAACTCATGTAAGAAATTAATTTCAAAAACTTGGTGACTATATTGCTACAGTCTTAAAAATGTCACTAGAAATTAATTCCATGTGACAAAAACTGAACCTTAATGGACAAGTCAAAACATTCCACAAATACTCACAATATCATGAGCTCAGATTCATAACGCACGAGAGCATTCTTCTCCTGCACCAGTTTGAACCACTGATGCATTAAGCTTGGATCGTCTTTCTTTCCCATTCCTTTAAAAAAAGAGAAGAGGAGAATGGGACAACAGCCACGATAACATACAGAGCACATGCATGAGTACGTCGATAAAGCAGAGTCCAAATGAACACTTATACAGTGCTAAAACGCAAGTAAATAAGGAATTCGATTTTATCCTTGATTGATTTCATCCTTCAGCATGTCAACATTAAATTCTGAAAATAATAGTCTGAAATATAAATGAAAGACATGCAGATTTAATGAATATCGCACTATTTAATTCATTTAATATATTTTTTATAAATCTACTCTATTATGGTTCATTTGCTTGACCCAAAAATTAAATATTTTATTTTACATGTTTTCTATTATTCAAAACATTTCTTATACATACATTTTTATTTAAATAAAACTATTTAAAAAGCTAACTTTGGACTCTGCTTTTAACTATACCTCTGTTCGAAAGTTTAGGGTCTGTAAGACTTACCAAGAATCCTTACCAAGGCTGTATTTATTTGATCAAAAGTCCAGTGAA